ATATAAAATGAATATATATATAAAATGAATATATATATATATATATATATATATATAAAATGAATATATATATATATATAAAATGAATATATATATATATATGTATATACAATATGTATACACTTATTTATTTTTTTTTTCAAAGCCTACTCAATCAGAGGAAATCCACTCTGAAGCGCAGGATGAGGAAACTTCAAAAGAGGACTCGGTTTTCATAATTTTCTTTATACATTTCATTCAGCCAGACAAAAACGAGCACTTAATCATGTAACTATCAGGTTACTGTGGTTGACCCAGTTAAACCAGTGCCCCCAATGTAACTTGGAAGAGCTTATTTTAAAATCTACCACAAGGCATAGTATACACACTATACAGTATACAGTTTTGTTTTGTTTTTAAGGAAGAAACTGCACTGACGTTAATAATAATAAAAGTTATAAAGATAAACAAAAATAAATATAATAATAAACGAATAATAATGAAAAATAAATTTAAAAAAAATTTTTTTGCACTGACTTTACTATTTGGATTTTCTTTTTTAATCTCAGTAGTGATTTTGGTGACTATCAAAAAACAGACTTTTAAAGAACGAAAAAAAAATGTTCGTATAAATATATATTTTTTTCTTCTGTCAGCCAATCTAAACTTGCATATTGTAAAAAAAAAACTTTTTGTCTCATTGCAGAAGATGTTGGTAGCAAACTCTAACTGCAGAATAATCTAGATTACAGTGCCTTGCGAAAGTATTCGGCCCTCTTGAACTTTTCAACCTTTTGCCACATTTCAGGCTTCAAACATAAAGATATAAAATTTTAATTTTTCATGAAGAATCAACAAGTGGGACACAAGTGTGAAGTGGAATGAAATTTATTGGATGTGTCAAACTTTTTTAACAAATAAAAACCTGAAAAGTGCAGCGTGCAATATTATTCGGCCCCCTTACGTTAATACTTTGTAGCGCCGCCTTTTGCTGCAGTTCCAGCTGCAAGTCTCTTGGGGTATGTTTCTATCAGTTCTGCACATGGAGAGACTGAAATTCTTGCCCATTCTTCTTTGCAACACAGCTCGAGCTCAATGAGGTTGGATGGAGAGCGTTTGTGAACAGCAGTCTTCAGCTCTTTCCACTGGTTCTCGATTGGATTCAGGTCTGGACTTTGACTTGACCATTCCAACACCTGGATATGTTTATTTGTGAACCATTCCATTGTAGATTTGGCTTTATGTTTTGGATCATTGTCTTGTTGGAAGATAAATCTCCGTCCCAGTCTCAGGTCTCTTGCAGACTCGAACAGGTTTTCTTCCAGAATGGTCCTGTATTTGGCCCCATCCATCTTCCCATCAATTCTGTCCATCTTCCCTGTCCCTGATGACGGAAAGCAGGCCCAAACCATGATGCTGCCACCACCATGTTTGACAGTGGGGATGGTGTGTTCAGGGTGACGAGCTGTGTTGCTTTTACACCAAACATATTGTTTTGCATTGTGGCCAAACAGTTCAATTTTGGTTTCATGTGACCAGAGCACCTTCTTCCACATGTTTGGTGTGTCTCCCAGGTGCTTGTGGCAAACTTTAAACAACACTTTTTACGGATATCTTTGAGAAATGGCTTTCTTCTTGCCACTTTTCCATAAAGGCCAGATTTGTGCAGTGTACGACTGATTGTTGTCCTAAGGACAGACTCTCCCACCTCAGCTGTAGATCTCTGCAGTTCATCCAGAGTGATCATGGGCCTCTTGGCTGCATCTGTGATCAGTCTTTTCCTTGTTCCAGATGAAAGTTTAGAGGGACGGCCGGGTCTTGGTAGATTTGCAGTGGTCTGATACTCCGTCCATTTCAATATGATTGCTTGCACAGTTCTCCTTGGGATGTTTAAAGCTTGGGAAATCTTTTTGTATCCAAATCGGGCTTTAAACTTCTCCACAACAGTATCTCGGACCTGCCTGGTGTGTTCCTTGGTCTTCATGATGCTCTCTGTGCTTTGAACAGAACCCTGAGACTATCACAGAGCAGGTGCATTTATACGGAGACTTGATTACACACAGGTGGATTCTATTTATCATCATCAGTCATTTGGGACAACATTGGATCATTCACAGATCCTCACTGAACTTCTGGAGTGAGTTTGCTGCACTGAAAGTAAAGGGGCCCAATAATATTGCACGCCCCACTTTTCAGTTTTTTATTTGTTAAAAAAGTTTGACACATCCAATAAATTTCATTCCACTTCATGATTGTGTCCCACTTGTTGTTGATTCTTCACAAAAAAATTAAAATTTTATATCTTTATGTTTGAAGCCTGAAATGTGGCAAAAGGTTGAAAAGTTCAAAGGGGCTGAATACTTTCGCAAGGCACTGTAGTTAGTTGGCTTAATATGCAGCAGAGATGTTCTTTTAGTAATTAAACATGATGTTTTTATACTTGCCCTCTAAGTAATTACATTTTATCTTTGAAAAGATGCTGTTAAATAAATTCTCATTTTGTGTGAACCTAGAATTTGTCACATGAATCTCACTGTTAAAACCCAAGTTTACTTAAGAAAAATAATTTTATATGTGTCAATCATGTGTAGGTCATCTAGTTCTTTTCTCAAATTTATATCAGATTTAATGTTGTCATTCAAAATAACAGGGTGTTGCAAATCTAACAATTTATCTTCCAAGTGTTTTAAGTTTTGCTTATGTAATAAAATTATGCTATAATATGCGCTTTCTCAATAAAAGGGTTATATATATATATATATATATATATATATATATATATATATATATATATATATATATAAACAAAAAAAACCACAAGTTTACACTCTTCCTGTTAGACATGCTTTTACATGTTTTCATTGTGCACTGTTCACAGGAGCAGATTGGATCAGGTGTAGATGAGGTTCTGGAGGATGAGACGCAGCGTAGCGCCCCCTCAGAAGAGAAGGCACCAGCTGAAGAGGACCATCAGGAAGCGATGGGTTTCCCCCAAACATCTCAAGAAGTTAACCCTCAGTCGTTCTCAGACAAAACACCTGCACTTTCAACCCCAACATTTCCTTTTAAGTGAGTTTATTTTTATTTTTCTACTGAACGTTTGATGACTGCTCCAGAGGAATGTTCTTCCTGTGTCGTCTTTAGCTTCAGCCCCGCCAGCTCTCCACGTCCAGGCACCTTCGACACTAAATCACCAGCTTTCCACTTCTCCCTGAACTCCAACATAAGCTCGTCATCCTTTCCTGGATTTGGATTTGATATGGGCTCATCACAGGAAGAGGTAAGAGGCTACCCCAAGGAATAAAATAATTACAACTAATCTTTCATTGTTTTGGAATTAACTCTGAATGTCTTCACAGGAGTCGTTTGCTTTCACCGATTCCGTTTTCAATGTGAAGGTAATGTTTTACTTTAGGGTGTACAATTTTAAACGTACATTTTTAATTCCTTTTCATTACTTTACAGAAATCTGCAGAGGCGCAACCTTCAAGCTGTAAGTGTATAATCAGTTTGAACAAATGCAACCTATTAAAATATGTTGCATTTGTTTAACTGCAGGTTTGTATCTTAAACGTTTAGGTCCAGAATTCCTGTTTAACCAACCAGAGCAAAGTGAAGATTTCCAGTTTGCCTTCACTGCCAAGAATCCTCCGTCAGGCAGCAAAGAAAGCGGAGACGAGTTTCCATTTTCCTTCAACTTCTAAGTAACACAGTTAGTTCCCTTGTTCTTGTGTTAAGTGTGATAAGATGTGAGCTTCTAAAAGATCCTTAGTGTTGGACAAGGACTTTTGAGTAAATCACACAAAGTGTTTGTAATAGTGTCGTACTTCACATAACATTTATTTGAAGTTAGAGCATCAATATCCATCTCAATACACAACAGTAGCTCATATATCTTTAGATTTCTCTCTTTAAAGTACAGAAGTTTTGGAGTTTACAGCTTTTTACATGGTAACAAATTTGTTGATACTTGTTCAGTTGAAAAAGTTGCAAAGCATTGTTTCAGTCTAAAAAAAGAAAAAAAGAAATTAACATCCAAGTAGTTTCTTGAATCCCAGAGTCACAGTAGTACACAAAACACTGAAAGAATACATACATTAGGTAGATTCATTTTCTGTACGAACGCGTTACAACATGATTGCCTTTTAATGAAGGCACCTGACCATTTTATTTATGGCTCTACGTTGATCTTATTTTCTTTATATAGGATTTTCAAAGACACACATTCGTTTTTTGCATGCATTATATTGTTATTGTATAAAACTTTAGGTCTGTGGCACACCTGGTTGTCTGTTTGTAGCAGCAGTTTGATAGCACCTTAGTAAAAAAGCATCTGTAATAAAATTTTCAGTTATAAATTAATACTTGCGTTACATTTTTATGGACTCTAACCGAGTTATTATGATACTGAGAAGACTGCATTAATACAGTAGTTTATTATGAGTGTATAATCCTATCTTCAGTCAAGAGCTGTGTCTTTCAGGTTAAGAAACAAATAGTGTGCACTAAAGGTAGTCGGACGGAATCTGCTCTTTAGGGCATTTCTTATTATATGTGTAGGCAATCCAATAAAAAATGTCCTAAAAATTCTTGGAATGTGACAGTTCGAATGTACGAACGGAGCTCAGAGAGGAGGGAGTACAGGGAATGTGAACGTTCATTATGGTGCTGGTGTACAGTTCTGAACGGAGCGGATTTACATGCAAGCAGGGACTACTTTAGTTCAAATCACACAGAACAAGGTTGGGAGGGAGAAAGCTGAAACAACACACTCTTGAGTTAACGATATCCCATGTAGAAACAGAAGGAGAGATAAAGTTATTAAATATAGAGGTTCAGCACTGTCGTTTGGGAGAGCCTAGTATCCTGCATCGATGCTGATTGAGCGTCGGGTTACATGTTCGATCTCTCCAGGGACGTATTCACAGAAGTTGGTCTGGTACCTGGCCAACATTTTCAGCATCGGACGCAAATTGGACCACCACTGAACCTTGGGCATTCGATGCCTGAAAAGTAGAGAATACCGATCAGTGATGATGATCCTCTAGGTCAGGGGTGCCCACAATTTTTCAGGATGCGAGCTACTACTATAAGGCCCCGTTTACATGAGAACAACCTCTGGAAATGTTAGTGTTTTTTCAATGTTTATTGGGGGTAAAAAAACTAAAAATGCTATAGTTTCCATGCCAGTCGGGTTGCCAGATTATGAACTATAGTACTGTGGCTTGAAAATGATAGTATTTTGACCTAAACTGTCATATGTGCTGAGTAAATATATTCTTAAGATGAGGTGTGTGTTGTGTTTGTTGAACATGTGCACAGAAAAGGAGGGGGTAAATAAGACATTTTAAATTTATCTGGCAACCCTGATGCAGGGCTCAGCTGCATTCATTGCGCATGATACAGTTAATCCAAACTGGTGAATACACGAACCTCTCTCTGTAACTGGATTTTATCAGTTTTGCTCCTACATGCAGAAAAAGGGTGAGCTGCACAAAACCACAGCTCTCTGCTAGTGCAAAAAAAACTTTGGACTGCAGCTGCTTCTAGTGCGCGTGTGCAACTTCACACGGAGAATTTCACACTGTCGGGGAGTGGGGTTTTCCCCACTGAAAATCTCCTCTCAGAACTAGTTTGAGAGAATGAGGGCTGTGACTGGCTGCCCTGTACGTCAATCAAGTAACAAATTTCATAGTGAGGATGGATGATAGGCAGACATCTATTTATTTTAATGCCCTGCGATCTACTCATAAAGCCTATGCGATCAACCGGTAGATCGAAATCGAAGTATTGGGCACCCCTGCTCTAGGTATTCAACGGAAACCCTTTTGTTTGCGGCACTTACTCAAAGTCCGTTATAGCCTTCAGATCCGTGACGGCGATGAACGAGACGACCTTCCTGGTGAGGCCCAGCACGCACGCCGTTTCTGGTGAGTTTGCAAACACGCGGCCTGAGGGGAGAAATAAAAGTGTCGGCAAACTTTGGGTTCTTGATTTGGGTTTATGTTTTCTATGAGTGAAGATGAACCTTGTCTGAAGTTTTCCTTCAACTGCTCCGAAATCCACTCCGTCGCCTTCACACCCAACTTGGTGCCAAAGTTTCTATCAAAGGGAGTAGGAGCGCCTCCCTGCAGCACAAATGTACACATCGAGTATAAATAGGCTCAAATGAAATATCTGATGTTGCTGTTAAGCAGCAAAGAACCGTACCTGCTGGAGGTGACCCAGCACGTTGACTCTGCAGTCGAAGACACCCTTCCCTTCTTCTGAATACAGCCTATAAATGAAGTCTGTCGAATAGTTCTGATGGCAGTTTTCATTCCTATTGAAATAAAAATGATCGACAAATGTCCAACATTACTGCATGCAACTAGACTTAAAAGTGGTTTAAACTGGCCCATATATTCAAATAAAATTCATGAAACTTTGTCCTAATTATTTGCTTTCTGACCAAATACAAGTTTGTGCACTACGTCCATCTTTCGGACGACTACGTACATGTTCTCGTATCTTGGTGCATTGACAATAAAGCTTATTCTGATTCTGAAATGCCTTAAAACTGAAGGAGTCATTTAGTGTTTAGCAAGTTAGCATGTCAGAGACCCTGATAAATATGTTTACTATCAATTGTTGTCTTTGTGTTGCAGCCCACTGATAAACTGCAACTTTAAAGTCTCTGATTACACCCAGGTGTATAATCCATGTCAGGCAATCACAGGACAGCTGATAGCACAAGAACTTGCAGTGGCTAATAATGTTGTGTGCACTTAGGCCCTCAGGTAATATGCTGCAATAATCCTCAGTGCAATAATCAGAATATATAAGTTCACCCTGAAGATTTGTGCAGAAATGTGCCAAAACGATTCAGATCTCCATAAGGTGTGCCTTTACTGTAAACTGCATATTTGTATATAACTATTGTACTTTTCACTGTATACGTCATACCTTTTTGCATAACAGCAAAGCAACTTGTTTATGTTTTTTCCCACTTTATTAGACATATTTGGACTGATGCAACTTATACAGTGGTGCAACGTGTACGGCGGCAAGTACGGTACTTCTTTCCAGCTGACACCCTTTTTTATTATTCTGACAAATAAAATTATACATTTTAGTAGGATGAGATCTGCTTCAGTTTGCACCAGGACCCAACACGTTTATCAATTTACACACCTTAAGACTAGACCTCTCTGGATGTCCTTCTTCATCTTTTCTGCCAAATGCTCCACGTTAGTCTGTTGACAGGACACATGAAGAGAAGGGCTTTACAAACCCAACAAAAACAAGAGGCTTTTTTTTTTTTTTAAACATCCTTTAGGTCTCACCTTGAGGTCTTGAATGTTGAACGGTTCTTCAAAAATGTACGCAGCATCAGCACCCACAGCTATACCAGTGCAGGTTGCCAGGTAGCCACAGTAGCCACCCATTGTTTCCACCACAAACACTCGTCTCTTGGTGCCAGAAGCAGACTGCTTGATCTTGTCGCATCCCTGAAAAGTTACGTTTGGAAATGTTTTGTATTCACGCTAAAAAGGAAAACAATGATCCTCAAAGACAAATTTATGACAGAGCATAACTAGTGTTTTATATTTGTTAAGAGATAAACTGAACTTTGAGGACCAAACTAAAATCTTATTCTAAATATATGCAAACAGATCAACGTTTCTCCTGGCAATAAAGTTACTTTTATTTGATTTTGTTTTCTGGTTGGGTCTCTTTTTCATTCTGAACCTGAAAGATCAAAGCTGCACAATTAAAGTGAGCAGTTTGCTCAGATTTACCTCCATAGCGGCGTTGACAGCAGTGTCTGCACCCAGACTGAAGTCGGTGCCAGGGACGTTGTTGCTGATGGTGGCTGGGATGACACACATGGGGATGCAGAGCTCATCGTAGTGTCCGCGGGCCTCGTACAGCTGCAGAACTCCTTCGTATCCCTTTCAAAGCAGCAGACAGATGAACTGGAACTCTCCCACTGCAACTTAACCTACTCAATGAGTTTGAAGGTGTGAAGTCTTGTAACGCACCTCAAATCCTCCAACAATGAGCAGAGCGGAGATGCTGTATTTGGCGATGTTATCTACGATCTTCTCAATGTTTGCTGCAGGACGGGTTCTGAAGAACGGCACGAATATGGATATGGCATTCTTTTTCTCTTGCAACAGTTAAAAAGTATTACGATTACTTTAAACTAATGAAATAAAAATTTGCCCACTTCCTCACCGTTTTGTTCCCAGCAGCGAGCCCCCCTGGCCTGTCCATCCAGCCACATTGTGCCATTTCATCTCAAATATCTAAACAGAAACAGTTTCCTCTCACTTTCGTTCTGGTTAAAATGCTCAACTAAACATCCACAGGGTAGCAGTCCCACCTGATCGCTGGCGAGCCCTTCAAAGCCATCGTGGACCCCGTAGACCTTGTGCCCGTGAGCAAGTAACACCCTGGTGGCTGACCTCACCGCGGCATTCATCCCTCCAGCCGGAGCTCCCACATTCAGAATAGCCACGGAGAAATTGCTCTAAGAGAACAAACACTTTACGTTCTGTCACCCTGACACAGTTTAGGTTAAAAACGTTCAAGTGTGTGATCGACTAACCTCAGTCTGGACCGGCTTCGGGAAGGCAAGAAGTTTGTAGATGTTCCAGTTGTTCTCAAAACTCCTGCAGGATCATGGCACGTTTTAGCCGATTGTATCAAAAGGAACCACAGAAATCAGATCCAAGTCTCAGCTCTTACCCTCCCCGCAGTTTAACGACTTCATCAAACCTCTTCTCAGTCATGGCCTTCTGCACCAGTTTAGTCTGCAAAAGATGGTGCAGAATCAGTGACCGTCCACCACCTAGCATGTTCCTTGTGCTCGTTAAAATCTATAGAAACAAGAAGGGGAGGGAGACTCACCATATCCACACACTCCATGAGAGGCAGGCGGACCGCCTGGTTGCCCGAGAGGCCGATGACACAGGCCGGGGTCTCAGGAGTCGCCTCCAACAGGGCAATAACTGCCTCCACACCCAACTTACTGCTCTGAAAACACGTTTACAAAACGCTGTCAGAAACACTTCTTCATGATAAGAACATGCAGCTGCATTCTGTAAGCGGCAGCTAAAGGTGCAACTTTTACCCACCAGGTCGGCAGGTGTTCTGATCATTAAGCTTTTATGTGACACGTATGGTGTTCATCATGAGTCTCGTTGGAAAACATGATGACAACATAATGGTGGCGACAGCCAGGCCCATTTTGTTTGGTTTTGCTTCAAGCCTCTGGCCCCGTGATCTAATAAACTAAGCGGTGTTGTACACACAATGCAGTGAAGTGATAAGTTCACGTATTGGAGAGCAAACAAATGCTCCATCGCAGCTGCACTCAATGGACAGCACTTAGCAGCAACACAAAACTGATATTCCAAATCAAAGCAAGTTCACCTTTAATTATGTGATAGGAATTAAATAAAAGACCTTAACTGAGTCTTGTGTAGAAAGATAAAATAGATTTTTTAGCTAAAACGAGCAAAATTGATATAGAGTCCAATCGGAAATCAATTTGGGGACATTCATTAGTGAACCGAAGGCGGTTATGTGAACAGTTTGAGTACAGGACTCGGACAACGTGGACCAGGAAGTGTCTAATGAACTGGACAGTCACTTCAGGAATCGAACACCCGACACAAACAGCACATGGCGCTCTCCTTTATACACAACGCAGCCCTGCCAACATCGTGACGCCTGACTTGATCCAACAGCCACGCAGCTAAAACAACAGCTGAATAGTTGTCAGTAAAACGAAATAAACTCACCAGTATTCTGTCAAATGCAGATGGAAGTCCTCCTCGCTGGACGTGGCCGAGCACCGTCACTCTGGTGTCGTAGCCCAACCGTTCGATCACCAGCTGCAAACACGTGGATCATAGTGAACTATGGGTTTGATTGAACTCAGATTTGATTAAAATCATAGCCGAGTTAAAGAAACAAAAATGATAAGCAGCTGGTGGAACTAGATCTCATGTTACACTGTCATACAAGCGATTCAAAATCATTAAAGGACAAAACTCACATCTTTTATGTAAGTTGAGGAAATGGGCTTGCCGTGTGAATCAATGGCTCCCTCTGCAACAATGATAATGTTGAGTCTTGATCCCTTCGTGCGGCTCTGCAGGTTGACAAAAAAATACATTTTAGACCTTAAATAAATCAGAACAACTGTGTCAACGCTGTATTTGTATCAACCAATACAGATTAAACCAGAAGAAACCGTTTTATTTGCGTGTGTCCTACCTTTTCAAGACGTGCACACATGTGATCCTCCCAGCCCTCGAGCGGCGGAGATTCGGGAATAAAGAGCCAGTCGGCTCCAGATGCCAGCGCCGACACCAAAGCCAAATATCTTGATGCAACGAAAATTAAAATTGCAATTAGCTCTTATATTTATCTGTGGTGTTTGAGGAGCGGTATAAAAAATAAAAAAAAGGTGTTGCTCACCCACAATGACGGCCCATGACTTCAAGAACAAAAGTGCGCTGGTGGCTGAAGGAAGGAATAAAACAGAAGCATTGAGAGGCTAAAACATTTTACAGAAACTTTACTAATTATCTCAACTGTAACAGTTAGGGCTGAATATGCCCATGACAATCAGTAAAGTGATTTGGTGTTTTGTGAACCACATCAGGGTACCAGCTCCAGTTTTCTGAGAAACACTGAGCAACGACACTCAAGACGCAGACCTCTGAGCAGTGGTCATGATGGCGTCGATGATCTCCATGATGCGATGCAGAGCGGAGTCGGCTCCGATGGTCATGTCGGTGCCGCAGAAGTCGTTGTCTATGGAGCCCACGAGCCCGACGATGTTCAGGTGGCTGTGCTGCTTTGCCAGCGTGTCTGTGATCCTTCCTGAGGATGCACACACACACATGCACGCAGGGGGATGGGGGTTAATTTCATCCCCTGCGATTTCAAAAATGGACTCTTGCACTGAAGGGAGCATCTCACCTTTCTGCACAAGCTCCTCCAGCAGGCCGCTCCACTCGCTGCGGAAGATGTTGGCTCCGGTGAGACTGCCGTCTCCGCCGCACACACACAGGTTGGTGATGCCTTTCTTCACCAGGTTGAAGGCGGCAGCAATGCGGCCCTCGCGGGTGGCGAAGGCCTTACAGCGGGCGCTTCCTATCACTGTCCCACCCTGCAGCAGAAACAGTGGAGAAATCCAGGACAAGAGCAGAGCTTCATAAGTTTGGCGTCATGACTCAAAAAAGGAAACAAACCACATTTTTATTTATTCACAGATTCAATTTCAACCTACCAGTTGGATAATGTTGCTCACACTCTGCCAGTGGGCTAACTTGATGTTGTCTCCACCATCAACCAAACCCTGGTATCCCTGAAAAATATCACAAGAACAATGTGGTGCATTCCAGCTGAACTGGACCTGACTGAATGTTTAACTGGGTCAAAAAGGCGCATTTACCTCGTGGATGAGATAAACCTTGGCCCCCACGTAAATGCCCATCCTAGCCACGGCTCGAACGGCGGCGTTCATCCCTTGGTGAAAATCAGCAGCACACAAAATGCATTAACGCTCAACTCCACCTCTTCGGTTTGCACAGTGTTGCATCACAGATCCGAATGAGGAAACTGAGCTGGATTTTTATCAGTTATTGGGCAAAAGTGACTCAGAGGAATGTAATAACAGCATATTTAATTTGCAGAATCTAAGCCGTCCATTGGTTTTTGCATAATCTTATGATCATGCGTTTGTGCTGGTTGTGATTTTGCAGAATCATAACCAGTTTGCTTATTAACATGTCTGCAGTTTTACACCTACTTCCATGACCATTTAGCTTTCAATAATCTTTATTCTGATGATACTAATATAAAGAATAGGGGTTCAAATAACTCAGTATATTAAAATTCTGCTCTTGCAACAAAAAAGGAAATCAACACCACTAATGCAAAGTCTAAAATAATAATAATGTTGGGGGAGTGGTGGCGCAGAGGCTAGAGAAGATGGGCCTGTGATCAGAAAATCGCAGGTTCAACTCCCAGTATAGTCAACATCAAAATGTGGGTGGAAAAGGTGAAACAACCACACCTTCATTTGCCCCACCTTGAGCCCCTGAGCAAGGCCCTTAACCCCCACCATCTGCTCCCAAAAACACACACACACACACACTATATATATATATATATATATATGTATCTCAGTAAGGTGGTTAATGAATTAATTCACCAGGACTGGTCAGATCTTAAGTTTAAGATCTACAGAAGCAGTCATAGCACTAAAGTTACAACTACTACAAATGATCAGTTTATTTAATATAAAATATAATGACTTAAATTCAAATAGGGGATAAGAAAAACTGCTTTATTACTGCGATATTGGCTCTACTTTATTAATCTTAAACATGGCATATTGCTGTGATTTTTCCCATTAGAAATGACCACAGTTTTTACCTGTTTGAATGTGTGTTAATTAGTTTATATTAATCAACAGCACGATTAACTAGAAGTAAATAAATGAAAAGTAGCAGCAAATTCCAATGCATGCAGATCCACCGCTCTACCACAGAGGGCCTCTAATCCCAATCCCATAAACACACCGTAGAATTTCATTCGTTTACACCAATAGTGTTATAACCGCGTGGCGTTCGTGTCCTTTGAGCCCAGAGTGGATCATTAACTGGGTATTTGTTTTAATCCTCATCAATGTCATTACAAAAACTGATTCAGTTTAAAAAGATAAAAAAATAAAAAAACATGCACCCATCGATGTGTAAACAAACCCTCCCCCCTCGGTCGGTCCGTATTTCAAGCACATGCACATGAAAGGATTTTAACGTAGGTTGCGTTTAAGGTCACCTTGTGCATCTCCACCGCTTGTCAACACCGCGACGGCCCGACCAGCCCCCGTCATCTTCAGCTTCTCCAGGTCCATCGAAGACATGTTGACCCGCTCACCTCACGATAAACAAATTGAGCTGGGAAAAAAAAATCCGCTTGCTAGCTGTGATTAAAAACGCTGCAGTCGACCATACGTGCTGCTCCAGCTATAGCTTCCTTGTTGGCAGCGGGTTTTAGTGGAGCCGTGAAACCCACCCAACCGAAACACCTCCGAGTTCTGGCCCCGCCCACTTCAACAATAGGAATGGACGAAGCGCGTTGATTTTATAACCCGGCGCCGCCCGGAGCATATTATTCTTCTAGTTCTCCTTCATCCAACTCCCAGAACCAGGCACGTACAACACGAATTAATTACCCAGCTGGGATTGCACTAATCGTATCAGAAAAGATAAGCATTTAGTAACTGCCACACCCCTTTTAAACAGCCATATTCATTTACAATTGTAGTATGCGTTGATTACGTTGTTTGTTACGTTTGAGCGCGGCCTCGGCTCTCTGCGAATGTTTATCGAACGTCAATCAATAAAGAGGCGGAGTTTTAAAAAAGCCGCAGTTTGCTGTAAACGTGACTGAGAGCACAGCCGCAGCAGCTGGTGTACAGGAAATAGTATTTCTTAAAAAAAAAAAATACTATAAAATCACGGCTGAATACCGTGAGACTAAAAACATGACCCTTTAGGCTCGAAGTAGATGAAAATTGTTTGTTTAGTTTTTATAAAATACACAACTTTCCCTCAAACCATTAAATTTTTTTAAACCATTGACATTTACATATAAAAAAAAGTAGTTAAATTTTTTTAAATCTGTCAATATAAACTTGTATTTGATGCAACAATGCTTTTATATTGTATGTGTTTTAAAGTTAGATGTAAAAAAATATACAAATTAAATTTGGGAGAGACCAAAACACATTTTTATCACAGTTGACTTTTTTCTCTCACAGAAATGCATTAAAAGGATAAAAATGACTGGCCTTAAGAAGTATTTCGTTTTTGGCATACTAAGACTAAAAACAAATCCTTATTGTCCTTATTTTTAAGATAAGATGAAAATCCAGCAGTAAAACTTGTAATTGTTGACATTTTTTTCATAATAAAGTCCAAATCATCACTGCAACATATGTGGTGTTTAAATCTTAAGTGTGCCCTTTTCCCACATTTACCCATGTAAAACAGTAATATTGCTACTGAGAATCATCAAATTAAATCTAATAATTTGTAAAAGGGAAGCTGATCTGAAACACATCAAGGGTTTTGGTGATGCCTGCAGCCGACCTTTTTTTTTTTTTTTTTTTTAAACAAAGACCCTCGTGACAAAAAAGGCAGAGCACAGTTTGTAGTACAGTACGTCAGCATTTATTCCATGCAGCGGTTTGCTTTGATTTTTATTCTCCTATTGCACTGTACACTGAATAATACAGGAAACTGACAGGACTGGTTGATCATAATGCCATTCATCAGGGAACGGGTTGGAAATAACAGCAAAAAAAAAAAAAAGTTTGATACATAGAATGAGGTGAGATGATGTCCACAGTTAGAGAAACTAACTCACAGAAATTCAGATGCAAGTTATTGATAATTGATTAAAAATGAGAAGGGGTCACAGCAGAAGTGGAGAACTTGGCTTCACGCGTGCTGATTCTGACAGCCTTCGATGGAATGATAAAACTTTAGGGATACTCATTGTTTCTATTACTTATGCCTGCTAACAATAATCTAAAATATGAATAGTCCTCTGCAGGGTTGGGCGATGTGACGAGGCGTTTGTTCCATCGTACAAATACTGTCCTCTTCCCACACCGATTCATTGTGCTTCTTTTAAAACCACAGTTTGCAACAAAAACAAAAGTTGGTCATGACATTTCTGAAGCTGCCTGAAATGATAAGGAACACTACCAATCATTTTGAAATAAATTAATTCATTAATTATGTAGTCCAGCTACAAAGAGAGAGAGAAAAAAAAAAACAAAGATCAAAACTTAAATTAAAACATCACAACAGTCATACTTCACAGGATTTAAGCTGGAAAAACAGTTAAGAGCTTGATTAAATCACCCAGCCCGTCACATTACACAAGGTTATTTCACAAAAACAAAAGAAACGAGGGAAGCTCGGGGGAAACGCTGCTGCGAAACCTAAACGATCCATCAGCAGAACTTCAGATTCACCCTGGCCTTTATGCCTCACCTCCCTGGAGTAGTGTTCAATACTGATACAAGTACTTCTTTTTTAACCAGTCAGAGCTGTGTGGACAGGACAAAATAAAAAAAAAATCTGTGTGTTTTTACACGTGTTCACATAGAGGAATAACACTGAGATGTTAAAACCAAGAGCAGCTTTAAGCCGCTCGTCTCTGGCTTAAGTTCCTGACGCAGATATTCACGAGCTGCTTACACACATCGCTCACTGAAACCTCGGCTGACAAGATTATCAGTGATGACAAAAACAAAGCTTTCACAACTGCAGTATCCTTCTTCAGGAACAATCAGATGGGGAATAAAAGGTATTGCTGGGATTTTTAAGACTCAGATGATCAAGGGAGGCAGCTAAAACTTAAGAAAACAGATGGCTTTTTACATACAAGGTAAAATAAGTGCATGTAGCTATCGCCATCTAGTGGCTGTTAATATATTGCTGCCAACCAGCAACACAAAACCTGAGCATCAAACTCCAGAAAAGGCAAAAATAAAAAGAATGGGAATAGCCTAAAGTTGTAGTGTGGTTTAGTCTAGCCAGCTAGACGTCCTGCGTCCTGAGCCTCACCTGAGAACCAAAATGCTTTATAAAGGTTAATTATTGCTGTTTGTTTTACAACAGCGCAGACGATGGCGATCGTTGGGTCTCTGACTAGAAAACGACTCGTGGGACACGCTGCACCTCTCAAAACAAAGGGATGCTGCACCTGATCGCAACGAAAATGTTTATCACAGCGATAAAGGGTTGAACATCAAGGCTATCTGTAAGAGCTTTTTTTTCCTTCTTCTATTGGTTTTTAAATAGTCCTGCATGATCTGTATAATATGTGCCGGTCAAAGAACATTCCTTCATTCAATAATTGGTCCAGTCCAGTTTCACAGTCCTCGAACAATCCTGAGATGAGACTTGAAACTGTAACGTCTAATGATGAAGGAGGCTTATTGTTCACATACACACACAAACACACACACAAACTAAAACTCCCCTCAGTAACTCCGGTTGAGACATCTGATTGCTGATGACGTGTCTTAAAGAGGAGAGAGTTTATTTTTTGTTTTAAGCTCTCAGCCGAGTCATCGTCTCTGTAGCTCGTCTGCTTCATGCAGCCTTCGTAAGGCTTTTGTTCTTTTGCATCTTGCGAGCTGCACAGGCATGCCTTATCAGCTATAGGGGGCATTGTGACGCCGTGAGACACAGACAGAGGCTTCGGAGAGGGAGAAAGTCCTAAGTTGTTCATGCTGGTGTTCATACTAGTTTCCATGAGCTCATTGTTCCCTGTTTCAGCCGCGGCGGAGACAAAATGAAGTAAGGAAGGAAGAAGAGTGAGGATCTCTGCGCTGTAAACTCAAAGAAGCAGGTTGGTCAAACTGCAGCGGGAGGGATCACATGTTTATGTTTTTAGGGGGAGTTCTCACATGAACGGATGTTGAGAGCGACTGTAGTGAGATGAAGGCCAGCAGCGATGCAGCTCCTCGCTGCTGTCAGCCTCAGATACATGATGCAGTCATCTTCATCATTATCATCATCCAGTCACAGTTACCACACAGTAAGCCCCCGCTTAGTTTCAAAATGTCAGTTTTTGTTTTTCCTCTGTTCAGATCAGAGTTTCTAAATTTCTCCTCAAAGTCTAGACAAAAAAAATAATTAGTGTTGAACGGTCTACTGTACATTATCATTCAAAAGGATATCCCTGCCATGGGTTGCCCCTGGACGCAGTGCTTTGATGAGGGGATGATTTTGGGATGATTTTTTTTTGGGGGGGGGGGGGGGGGAGGGGCAGTTTACCATCTTGTCCTTTTATTGCTGTTTTTCTATGAAGCCCAAAACCAAGTCCACGCCCGGCTGTGAGCTTCACCACGAGGACGGAGCTCCAACTTTGTTTCTAATGGTGGTATCGGAGCACTCGGCATCTGACGAATCACAGTCTGAGCCCCCGAACTGCAGCGGGTTCTGAGGGTCAAACGAGAAAACAGAAATATTAGTTAAAACCCAGATTGGTTTAAAAATGCATGAAAAATAAAGTTAAATTCAACTAGCTAAAAATAAAATAAAGCAAAAAGCAACGCTTCTTTTAGCTTAATTTTCCGATACTTGTCAGTTTTTGAAGTTTAACTACTTTAAAATGTACTCTTCTTGTTTTTAGTATAAATAAATTATAGGATACATTTCAGGGCTAACATTTTACTTAAATCATTTAATTAGTCTTCATAAGCAAACTAGCATTCATCTGTGCTGCCTTTAAATGTTTAAATTGCACAGACATTTTAAAGAATAAAAACAATGTGGGTTCTGTCCTGGCCGTGGAACACTGGATCAGCTCTTTACCCTCACTAGGATTCTCGAGGGGTCATGGGAGTTTTCCCATCCAGTCTACATGCGTTTTCTAGACTTGAAGAAGGCTTTGACTGTGTTTCTCGAGGTACGTGAGTTTGGGATTGGAGGCCCGCTGCTACGGACTATTCAATCCCTATACAGTACAAGTGGTGCAAGAGTTTGGTTCACGTTGCTGTCAGTAAGTTGGGCCCCTTCAGGGTGGGAGTTGGACTCCACCAGGGCTGCCCGTTGTCACAGATTCTGTTCATAACTTTTATGGTCAGAATTTCTCGGTGCAGCCAGGGGACGGAGGGATTGTGGTTCCGTGGCCTCAGGATTCCATCTCTGATTTTTGCAGATGATGTGGTCCTGTTGGTGTCATCGTGCCGTGATCTTCAGTTCTCACTGGAGCGGTTTGGAGCTGAGTGTGAAGTGACTGGGTTGAGAATCAGCACCTCCAACTCTGAGGCCATGGTCCTCAGTCAGAAAAGGGTGGATTGCTCTCTTCGGGTCGAGGGTGAGGTTCTGCCTCAAGTGGAGGTGTTCAAGTATCTTGGAATTTTGTTTACGAGTGAAGGAAGAATGCAGCGTGAGATCGACAGACACATTGGCCCATTGTCTGCAGTATTGCAGACTTTGTGCCGGTCCGTTGTGGTGAAGAGGGAGCTGAGCTGTAAGGCAAAACTCTCTGTTGAGCGGTCAGTCTACATTCCTACCCTCACCTACAGTCATAAGCTCTGGGAAGTGACTGAAAGAATGAGATCATGGATGCAGGCAGTTGGAATGAGTTTCCTCAGCACGGTAGCTGGACTCTCCTTTAGAGATAAGGTGAGAAGTTCAGTTATCCAAAAGAGACTCGGAGAAGAACCACTGCTCCTCCACATCGAGAGGAGCCAGTTGAGGTGGTTTGGGCATCTGGTAAAGATGCTCCCTGGGCAACTCCCTAGGGAGGTTCTTTGGGCATGTCCAACTGGGAGGAGATCCCGGGATAGACCCAGGACATGCTGGAGAGACTATGTCTCTCGGTTGGCCTGGGAACACCTTGGAATCCTCCCAGAAGAGCTGGAAGAGGTGTCTGTGGAAAGAGATGTCTGGGCCTCCCCGCTCAAGCTGCTGCCCCCGCGACCCCACTTTGGAACAAGCGGAAGATGATGGATGGATTTTAAAAATTAATAATGAACGGGGTGGGGTGGGGCGTTTCCACAATATTTTGTGACTTGTTTGTGCTATAGGAAATGTAAAACAATGCTAATATATTTTGTAGATGAACAGATGCTCGGATATATTCATCATTTAACGCGGATTCCTCATTTTTCTGGACTGAATAAAACGTGCATTGAATTTAAGGAAATGCAAACGTGAGACGTCATTTATATTTGACCCATCAAAATGAATGCGGTCATTTATTTACAGAATCAAAGTTTAACATCAAACATTTACATTAATTTGGCAAATTATGAAAATAACAACATAAGCAATCAATCAGGAAAAATCATACGGCCATGATTTTTCCGTTGCTTCACCACAGACATTTATGAAAACTGTACAATTATGATCTTTTACCCACATGGATGTGGGTGAGCATTTTACACAGACATTTCTAAAATATCTGGAAGAATTTCTACTTGAGAGAAAAGTTTAAAGATGAAAGAAGTTAAGAGGGAGTAAGAGGGTGTGTGAGGGGAAGTAAGTGTTCACCAGAACCGACACTCTCCATCAGAAACCCAGCTCGCCTCGGTACGCTTGGTAGGAAACTTGACCCATTACCTTTCTGATGATAATCAGCAGATATGGTGTTCCGTTAACGCTACCTGTCCAGCGTCTCCTTAGTATGGCTGTAGCTCGTCAGAAGTAGTGGCGAGTGAAAGTGTTATATTCCCATGGAACTCGGAAGAGCTTTGTTGTCATGTCAGGATCATCCCGTCTCTCACAGAACTGAGCAGAACTGAACTCTCAGAACAGAACTGTGCAGAAACAGCATCCGAGCAGAGCTTCAACAGAACTGAGTAGACCAGGAAGTACTGACATTTTAAAGAGCTGTTTTCCGGTCCACTTTTGGGAGTATTACCATTGGTCAGAACCGACCAGACGGGGTGTGTTTTGTGACGTAAGAGGTTAGAAGACAGCAAGAATTGTTATGGAAAGATCAGAAATGTTCTCACAGACAGAGAGAGTTTTGTTTTGGCGCGTTTCAGAAACAGGTGCCAAAAACCTCTATATTTATGTCTGAGAGGATTCTAAAAACATGCCAACAACTTGTTTTGCGTTTGACTCCAACCTTGGACCAACTTACACTTGCTCATTCAAAAGCAGAAATCAGAAAAGGCATAATTACTCTGTAACAGCTTTGACATGAGTTCTAACTTTGCGTGAGAAAAAATCATTACACAGTTAATAAAATTGATTAGTTCACTGCAACATCTAAAATGGTTTGAACTAAGACACTTTGATTATCAACATTTGTAAAATAGTAATGATAATAAAACAGAGAGTGTTCTTTTCACTTGAATCTTCAAGAGAGAAAGTCTCAGGATGGGTGAACCTGTATTTCTGGATTCAAATCAATGAAATGACAGTTCCTGTCCCACAAGGTTCTTAAGGTCAAGATTTTTGACCTTAGACTTAGTTTTTGACATGGGCCTAGTCCACTACAATTTTAAGGTAATTTTTATCAGCAACATCTGTTTTGAACGCAAAAATATATTTTTCTGTTGTACTGCATGTGCATGGTTTTTATGGGCATCATGTGTTCACACTTAAAAACAAGTTTAATGGCAGTGGAATACCTTCTTTACAAAAAAATCATTTTTTAATCTCATGTAACAGCTTTCTGTTTGTTATTTTTCTTCTTGTTCTTTAACTTTGTATAAAAAACGAAGACAGCTTGGGTTAAAAGTCAAAATGTGACTAAAAGTGCTTTAATTTTGGCAACTAAACGTTCCTGATAAAGACACTCTGAAATGTTGAAAAAAAGTCTTCTTAAAATTTTCAACAATTGCGTTAAACTTTTGAGATCTTTACATTTCAATATGAGACTGGATGAAAGAAAAAAACAGAAACCAACCACCGACCTCATAGCTGTGTTCGTCGGAGCACAGCTTCCCCAGCGAGATCTGAGTCTTCACCCGGCGGACGGCGCACTCCTTGTCGGAGAGTCCGTCGGACTGGGTGGAGATGTCGATCGGGATGTCCGGTGTGTGCGACAGCAGCTCGTCCAGGTGCTCCTCCTGGCTGGCGCTCAGCTTCTCCAGGGGTCCGCTGTGGGAGTGGTCACTGGTGTTTCCCTCCTCCCCATCAGAGACCGACAGGTTCTCAGAGCTGAAGGTGGAGTAGGACTGGAAGCTGCTCATACAGCGGTGAGGTCTGTCAGGAGGCAGGAGGAGAGAAGGGCTTCTTGAGTTTTATTCAGCAGTTTTATTATGATGTGGAAAAAGTCATTTTCTGTAATTGCACTGACTTGATAAGAGTTACGACACATTAAAAGGTCAGGTTAGTAAACTAAACAAGACTCTGAGTTTTTACCTCGGTCTCCTTGGAAACTCTACTTCACTATCCACCTCCCCCTCCTCCTCTTCAGATGACTCATCACCCTGCAAGTGCAGCACAAACAGCTGGTAATCCACAAAAAAAGGTTTTCTTTAGCACAAATGAATCTCTCACATATGACGGAGCTGTAGGGCCCCATAAATTTTTTTTTTACATTGCCACGCTAAGAAAAAAAAAATTAAAAGCCATAAAATTACGAGAATAAAGTCGTATGAGACTTTTCTTTTTTTTTTTACAGCTGTCGTTAAAAAAAAGAAAAATTCACACGAGTCGGATCTACGACGTGCCATGTCGATCAATCCAGTAGGCGTGTCAGCAAATAACCAATTCGAAACTAAATGAGTCGTGATATTATCCAAACTCAAGACACGATAAAGCAGGTTTACCACATTTTAACTGTGGTAAAATGAAGAATGTTTGTTAAACTTTATTGTTATTGACGCTCTTAATCAAAACGTGTTCCAATACTGCCACCTACTGTTGTGTTTTTGTATGCTGCTTCTGGGATGCATATACGTGACATCATCATTATTATTAATATTATTAATAATAATATTAATAATAATAATAATAATAATAATAATAATAATGTCTTATGTATTGTCATCATTTATGTTCCCATACAATGACGAAATTGGCTCTCTGCATTTAACCCATCCACCACCAGGTGGCGCAGTGGGCATCTATGGAAAGTGCCTGGGGAACGACTGGAGATAAGGTGTCCTTCTCAGAGATGTGCAATGACCGGGGATCAAACCCGGGACCTTTGGGCCTCGAGTCGGCTGCCCTGCCCCTACACCATCTCGTTTTTGTTTCTATTTGAAAACGGCGCTCAGTGAGTGAAACTGTGTGCGTGCAGCGCCGTTAATAGGTCTTCAATAAATATGTCTGAAAGAGGCTGAAGAGACCCAGCGACTCACTTATAAGAGCATTTAGCTTTAGATTGGTCATTTGCTGACATGCCTACTGGATTGATTGACAGGTCGCGTTATGGATCCGACTCGTGGAAAAAATAAATAAATAAGAGCTCTAAAAAAAAAAAAAAAAAAAAGTCTCATACGACTATTCTCGTAATATTGCGACTTTATTCTCGAAATACTACAACTTTATTCTCGTAATTTTATGGCTTTTAATTATGTTTTTCTTAGTGTGACTCTAAAGCTCCGTCGTACCTACATATACTGATTGAGGGGCTCACCTTCCTGAGAGGTCTGAGGGTGCGGGGCAGTGAAGAGGGGAGGGGGTGCTTAGGTTGAGTTGGGTCCAGCTCCTGAGGGTTGGCCTTGTTTGTGTCGTCTCCTTCTGCATCTTTGTTGTTCGTGCCTGAGGAAGACTGGGTCCTTTCTTGGGGGCCGAGCAGCGAGAACTGCGGTAACACTGGTTGTCCGAGAGTGGGGGGTGTCTCCTGACAGTGCAGGCAGCCGGGGAGGGGGTGAGCCTGGCAGCAGGGACATAAAGAACCAGCACCTGGGACAAGATTGGAGCCGGTGGATGAAGTCCGCTGCCGCGTGTCCACCGCAGTGGAAATGAGGTCAGGGCTGGAGCCGGAGACAAGGCGCTGCATGTGGTCGGTCTGGGGGCTGCGGAGAGCAGCGGCAGGGCCGAAGTACCGCAGATTGTTGGCACAGTTGACCACAGCTTCCTCGCGGCCTTTTAAGGGGAGAAACTGCCCCTCAGCGGGTGGGAGGTGGTGATGGTGGTGGTGATGGAGGAACGGTTGCTCTTGTAGGGACTGGGTGTCCTCTGGGGCCCCTGCAATCGGCTTCAACGCACCGGGAAACTCGTTGTGGCTTCCTTTGCTGTTGGCGCGGCGGTGGCGAGGCTTGCTTCTGTAACGGGTCTTTCCAGGGGGCGTGGAGACTTTAGGGCTGGCTGAGAGTGGGGAGGGGGAGGGGAGGGGGTCAATGCTGGGGATGCCATCAGAGCGGAGCAAGTCTGGCCTGTGGGAAACAAAAATTAGCAACAATATTAAAAAAGTTACTTTGATTAAAGGCATTTTCAGTGACTCTGAAAAATCACAACGAGCAGATGTCATTAGCATTAGCTTCTATTAGCCTGTTGCGTCGGTCCAAGCTGCAATGCATTATGGTCTATCTTTATCAGCAACTTCTGTACACTACTTTCACTGAACAACGTGGGGAGCTTCAACAGCAAGAGAAAATTTCGAACAGATCTTTGAACACTTCCAGCTTGCACCATGTTTTTATAGTACCTGAGCAAGTTTAAAACGATGGTTTGAATATAAATAATTATGCGTTTAAAAGCCATGTCAAACCTTTTGGTGGGGGGCATTCCAGGTTTGTGGGAAATGCTTCCTTTTTTCTTGATGAGCTTCTCGACTGCATTGGACCTGACAATGGGTCGGACCAGGTGACGTTTGTAGGACCCAGGGTATTTCTTCTCCACCGCCTGCTCTCTCCTACAGTGACAGCAGAATAACTTTAGACTTTTATGATTCAAACAACTTTCTATTGTTTTATACAGGAATGAAACCAGGCAGATGTTTGTTACTTGAAATGTTTCTGAGGAAAAGTAAATCCTGATATAGACAACAGATAAACCCTAATAATTAGGCAACAATCAAGATGAAGCGTTTCCTCCATGTTTCTGGCTTGAATCAACAAGATAATAAACTTGAGTTTGAGTCGTTTTTAACAAGAGGAATAAACTTAACATTTGAATAATAACATAAATAACACAATACATAGAAAAAAATAGTTTTATAACTTCAAATTAATTATTTACTGAGTGTGCAGCATTTCTCTCTGCAGCATATTCTCTTGAAAGAAAATTTCCAGAGCCTCAGAGTATAAAAAGCAGCTTTCTTGTTTTGTTTTGAATGTGTTTCAAACAGCGAATCACACCAAGAGAAAGACACTCAAACCATCTGTGCCTGTCAATCCTTTGGTGGCATTCTCTCTCTGCTTGCGGGAGTTTGGTCACTCATGCAAGTCGGACGTATTTGATGACATTCTGGACGCATGAACGTTTATTAAAATGTTAGATTTTAGGTAAAAGATCCAAGGAAGGCCAGGAATGCTGCGCAGCAGGTAGGTGATGATACTGTCTTGTTTATTAATTACAGGCTCCAACCTTCATGGGGGAGGTGAGACGCCCCCCCGTAAATAACGCTTGAGACAATAGTAAAACACATTTATGTCTTTGGTAAAACTTGGATCCACATACTTCATTAGTTCCTTCTCTCGGACTTCCAGCTGCAGCATGATGGCACTGAGCTCCATGTACAGGTTGTTGGCTCTCTCCAGCTTGCGCTCGTAGTGCTCCCTGATGTCCAGTGCGTGCCTGAAGGAAACCAGACAATGCAGAGAAACGTTAATCATCCCGTCTCTGTTTCCTAACAATAGCCATGCATGACTGTCGCCTCGTTTATGTTTGCTAACTGACCTGAGCTCATCCCTCCGGCGACGGATCAGCTCCTCATCCAACCTGTGGATGCATGTGCCTTCACTTTTGATCTTCTCAAAATGTTTCTTCACTTCCTCCCTCCATTCTGCCTGTAATAACCAACAGTATTAAAAAAGGCTGTCGAAGCAGTAGGATTTAAATGACTTTAATCCAAATGTAGCTCAAGGAAATAAGTGCGCAGAACCGTTTGACTTTTACAGCTGAAAGTGCTTAGTTTAGTGTTTTAGTTCATACCTGAGATTTGAAGTAAGTCTCCTGAGGAGTTCCTAGAATATCAGCAGCAGCAATGTCGAGATGTAGCAGAATCTGACGGAATGAAGGCCTGTTTCTGGGCTTGCCTTGCCTGAAACCAGTAAAAATCAAAGTATTTACAGTTTATCTGAAGTTCAAACGGGGTAAATATTCAAACAGAAGCAGCTGCCGGTAATATTTACTCCAAACCCACCATGTCTGTTTCATGAGGATCTTAAACCCATCTGGGCAGGTGGAAGGGACAGGAAGGTGCAAACTGTTGCTGCCGACGCCCCAAATGATGGCGGAGGAGTCCACATCTTTGTAGGGAATCTCTCCTGTGAGCAGCTCCCATAGCACAACGCCAAATGACCTGCGATACACGAGTAAGGATGGTCAGGCCTCTCAAACATCTCCCATGTACAATAACTAAACAAAGCTCCATGTTCTAAAATGATGATTATTTTTCAAACGTGGTGCCTTCCTACTTACCAGATGTCTACTTTTTCGGACACAGGTTCGTTTCTGATGACTTCTGGAGCCATCCATGCCACCGTACCCGCAAATGACATCTTTGTACTTTTGTCACTGAGCTCTTTGGACGTTCCAAAGTCAGAAATTTTCACGGTGTCGTTGTGGGTGACCAAAACACTGAAACACAAAAACAAAAACTTGTTAGCATTATGATTGGTGTTCATAAATAAAAAGCAGGGAAGCTATAGACAGTTAAAACTTCACAGAATGAGCTGAAACAGGGTAAACATTCATTCTGTTGATTAAGTTTCTCCTTTGATGTGTTCTTTTTTTCCTGCCATTTTTTGACATATTTCACGGTTTTCACAGAAGCGCATTTCTGAGTCACCCCATTAGCTAAATGAGGATGACGTTCCCAGAGCTTTCTGCCTGCTGTCGTTCTGCTGACTAATACAGTGTTTGGTCCTGCTGCTGCAGCGTGATATTGATTAGAGAGACAGCACTACAGATACAAAACTAATGAGGGTGAGACAGGAGTGGAAGAGAAAGGCAGAACCTTCTGTCTTTCTCCTTCGATGGCTCAACTAGCTTTTATTAATGCGGCATTAGAGCAAATGTCACTTTCTCCAGAGCTGAAGGAATGAATTGTTGCTGCTGCTTTGATCAAATACGTTAGTAAAAAAGCTTGTAAAATGTTAGAAAATGTTCATATTAGCTTAAAGAGCAAAAATACAACGTTCATTTGCATATAATCAGCAAAACATACAATACTTCCTCCCAGACCAAGACACAACTTTGCTATGCAATCTGCAGAGCTCAGAGTCATTTGGTTGCACTGTGAAGGAAGCAAAACCTGCAAATATAGTACTGTGTTTTAACTACACCTCTTTTCTTTAAATGGGCAAGACATTTGCGTCCCCTCTTGAAGAATCTCTTATTTCTGCAGTTTTTCTGAAAGTTTTGTCAAACACCAAAGTTCATGCTCAATAATCCAGGTATAAAATCCAACAATGTTTAGTCAGGTCATCTGGACGGTTTCTTTTTTGTGTGTGTGCTGAGCACGGGGCCGCGTAACTAGTTAGTATGCCAGAGTATTGTTTGTTATCGGAATTAACCAGATATAGTGAACTAAGCCTAAGGTCAGGATTTGACCTTAAGAACCTTATGGGACAGAACTTGTCATTTCATTGATTTGCATCCAGAAATGCAGGTTGACCCATCCTGAGACTTTCTTTCTTGAAAATTCAAGTGAAAGAACACTCTCTTTTTTGATATCATTACTATTTTACAAATGTTGATAATCAAAGTGTTTTAGTTCAAACCATTTTAGATGCTGCAGTGAACTAATCATTTTAATTAACTGTGAAACAGTAATAATGATTTTTAATCCTCATGCAAAGTTAGAATTCATGTTAAGGTCTGTTACAGAGTAATTATGCATTTTCTGATTTTCTGTCTTTAAATGAGCAAGTGTAAGTGGTCCAAGGTTGGAGTCAAACGCAGACCAGTTGTTGGAACGAGCTGTCGTGTTTTTACATCCTCTCAGACGTAAATAGAGAAGCTGGCACCTGTTTTTCCGCCAACTCGTCTAAATATTCCTCTCGTCTGTCTGAAAAACATTTTCAATCTGTTCCATAACATTCTTGCTGTTTTCTGACTTCTTGTGACCTCTTACGTCACAAACCACACCCCTGTCTGGTCGATATTGACCAATCAGAAACTCCTAAATGAACCGGAAATAGAGCTCTTTAAAATGTCGGTACTTCCTAGTTCAAACCGGTGGCGGAGAGTTTTCGAGGAGAGTTGGGTGAAGAGTCGAGTTGGAGTCGTTGCAGCTCCCGTGCTGGGAAACAGGAAGATCCTGACATGACCACAGAGCTCTTCCGAGTCTTATGGGATTATAACATTTTCCACCTCTGGGTGGAACTCTGACGGACTCCACTCATGTGAAGTCCACTCGTGAGGCGAATTTGTGTCGGACGGAATACCGTCACTACTTCGGACGATTCACAGCTGTTCCTACGGAGACGCTGAAAGGGTGCGTTGAATGGACTTTCGTACCGGTGGGGACATCTCCAGGTAAAAAGTTGATTTATAACACCTAAGTGTACTGGGGAAGAAGCTGAGAAAAGTTCGGAGAGTGCCGTCCTGAATGCTGACACAAACAAACCCCCTCACCCATCTTTTTCTCCCTTTAAACTTCATCTTTCCATCTTTAAAATTCTTCTATCAAGTAGAAATCATTCCAGATATTTTAGAAATGTCTGTGTAAAGTTCTCATCCACCGCCGTGTGGATAATCAAAATTGTACAGTTTGCTAAACTAGCCATGTTGTTATTTTCCATATTTTGCCAATTAATGTAAATGTGTGATGTGTTAAACTTTGATTCTGTTAATAAATTACCGCATTCATTTTGATGGTTCAAAGATAATTAACGTCTCACGTTACATTTCTAAATTCAATGCACATTATATACAGTCCAGAAAAATGAAAGAATCCGTTTAATTTATGAATATATCTCATGCATATGTTCATCTACACAGACAAATCGTTCCACCAACTAAGAACGGCCATGCGCCACCAGTCATATGGCCCCAAGCTCAGCACACATGCAGAAAAGAAACCATCCAGATGACCTGACTGAACATCGCTGGAAAGTCTGTCAAAGTTTTTCTTTGGACTTTAGCTGTGATTTTTACTCATTTTATGCCCAGTCCTTGCACCTGAGCACGACAGCATATTATAGACCGCATGCTTTACAAATGGGAGAAGGGAGAAGAATATTATTTGTAAGTGAAAGTAATTTTTAAGAAGCAGAAAAAACCCAGAAAGACCTGACGCAGGACCTGAGAGATGTTTCCAGTTGATCACTGATCCACTGTGCACTGTTTACAGCTAATAGCTCTTTGGAAATCCCTTTGTTGGTGCTAAAATATACTTTTGCTTAACTTTGTCATCTTTGGTATTTTACAAAGCTTCAACTAAAACAATGGGAACAGTTTGTGCTTTTGTAATGGTCTGCTGGTCACTGAGGAAAGTGTTCTGTGCTCTTATCCATGAATATTCAACAAAAACACTGCTCACTTGGGAGACTTGAGATCTCTGTGGATGATCTTGTGGAGGTGTAGGTAGTTCATCCCGCTGGCGATGCCCGAGGCCCAGTCTACCAGCAGCCTGGGGGTCACTTTCCTCCCTGCCCTCAGCACTTCATACAGCTGACCTTGTGCACAATACTCCATGATGATGCAGTAACAAGGAGCCTGTGTGCACACACCCCTGAGATACAATAAAACACACACACACAGGAAACACATTTAAAGACAAAGTGACAAACCCTGAGTTCGTTAATAACAGACTCCAGTGGAATTATACCAACTGAAAATTATAAACATACTTAAAGCTGATGATGTTGGGATGCTTGAGCTTCCGCAGGTGTTTAATGTCCGTCTCTTTCTGCTCTCGCACCTTCTTGATGGCCACCTCCTCAGAGCGAAACTTGCCCAAGAAGACGGCTCCCTGTGCACCGCTACCCAGCCACTGTAGCTCCGAAATCTCCTCAAATGGGACCTCCCACATGTCTGCAGTCAGGTTAGTTACATTTTATCAATGCAAACAACACCATTTTATTTTGACACTTTCAATGTGACCCATAGCACTGCACTGAACTATTCACCGTTGTGTCACATATGCTCTATAAAAATTAAAAAAAAAAAAGCTCATCTTCTAATCTGTTCCTTAAGAATGAAATATATGTTTTGAGGACAAACCTTTACAGACCACAGTATTTTAGGAATGTGACCCAAAAGTAATAGTAATATTCAACCATGACCAAAAATAAACCCAAAGCAATGCACAACAATGACCTACCAACGTTCAGTGAGATCAGTGCTGCTTCTGTTATGTGATTTTGGAAACATCACAAGAAAGAGGAACACTGTCTGAGCTTGAAGCTCACTGCATGGCTGAACAAGGGGCAAATCAGGCCCAGTTTTATCTGCCCTCACCACATATCCTTTACGCTGCGTGTCCAGCCTGTACAGGCAGCCCACAGCAAGGTGAGACTACCTTTACCAGTGACCTCAATTCAAACTGACAGCAGTGCAGCCGCGAAAGGCTGAAGCTGGGAACAACTATTCAGTTACGGCTTTTTGAGTACGTTTCAGGAGGGAATTGTTTGTTTGTCCCTCAGAGGTCTTTAAGAGACAAACATGTTTTAATTAAACAGAGACGTTTTACTTTTGTCAAACTGACATCACACAGAAAGATGAACCCCAGAGCTAACCTTGCTGTTGCAGCTTGTATTCTGTGGAATACGTTTTCCCAATAATGTTCCACACGGGCCGAAGACAACCGAACAGCCCCTCTAAGAAGCCGCCGGACCCGGGCCCTGCTCTTTGGAAGTGCAGCTTGATGTCATCAGGGTGATGTGGGTGGCCTGGCCTCCCTTCCCCACTTTGGTCCACAGGACAGTCCCCGTCTCCCGTCTGCTCATCCATGCCACTGCCACACCCACCGTGCTCACAGGACGCCGGTGACCCCGCTTCCTCATGATCCTGCTCCTGCAGCTGGAGCACGCTGTTGTCAAAGTGTCCGCCTTCGCTCCGTGTCGAATCCACACTCAGGACTGTGTTTGCTGGACTGACACCCCCCAACATGGAGTCCTCATCCTGGACAGGCGTGTGCAGGGGAACCGGAAGGTTTGTCGGCGGAGCGAGATCGGTGATAATCTGAGGAGGTAAATTAGAGAGTGGGGCCAGAGGAAGTTGGGGTTGAGAGTTGGGCGAGTTGGACTTCTTCATGGCGTCACCAACCACAGTGAGTTTCAGCTCCTCCTTTAGCTTCCCCACCAGAAGACTGGGGCAGGAAGTCCACGAAAGCACCTCTGGGGAGCTGCCCATGGTGTCACGCATGTGCATGAGCTGCTCAGTGACGATGAGTTGGACGAGTCTTAACACATCGGTTTGTCTGACCGCTGAAAATCACCTGCAGAACAGGAAGATGGACACAGAAAAGAAAGAGGTACACATTTAAATCCTAATCATTTTTTTTAAAGATTGTACTACAGTCTCATAAAACAAACACATTGTTAACATAACATTCAATTACCTCCACAAAGTAAAACACAATCTTCTCATTTACATGGATCTGGCATAGAGCGAGATGACATTTATGATTATTATTTTAAGATATGAAAAGCTAACACTGTAGAGCAGGGGCTTAAAATGAGTTTAGAGTAAAAATAAATAATGCAACGCTCTGAAATTTGAGTTAAACAGCTGAACTAAACCAACTACGCACACACCTACAATAAGACTGCTTTTCTGTCTATGTAGAATTAACAGTATAGTAAGGATTAAAGGTTGTTCCGTGTATTTAAACTCCTGAAAGTAAAACATCTGGCACACCCAAACCACCAGCTGCAGTGATAAACACAGCCTGTTGGTTTTCTTTAGTTACAGAATCAACAAACGATCTTTACCATGCAATTCTGTAAAAGTTACACAAGACACTGCTGACCGAGGTCAAAGAAGGGACAACGCAGCAGAAACAGGCACGTTGTACACTACAGCACATATTAGTCTTTGTGGATAATTCTAAAGCAAGAAGATCATTGAGAAGAAAACTTAAAGAATAAAAGCACAAAACAAAACAAAAAGTAGCCTTTTCAGAAATATTAAATAAAAAGTTTTTTTAATCTATTGATAAAAATAAAATAAAGGCTGGATAAGGATAACGTAGTCTAATCTAAACTAAAGCTCCACCTGCTGGCTCACATCCAACAGTTCTCATCAGAAACTGCTTCTGGTGTCATCAGGTAACTCAGGTAAGACCATGTGATCGTGTGGGAACAAGAGGTCAAACTACAGAGGAACATAAAGTACACTGAAAGCTCATAAAAACATTAAGAGGACATGAGGGGGAGATAATTTTGTCAAAGATGTATAAACAATATCATAACCATCAGTAATATTGTTGGGAAATCCTCAGAGGATGTCTCAATTACAGGATGACTACAAGATGTATATTAAAAAACAAATAATGCTTATTTTCCAGTTAGCAAAATGTGAAAAGCAAAAAATGTGGTTATATTTTTTATTTTCTTGTGTACCATAAACTCTAAATTCTCTCTAGGTGTGAGTGAGACAGTGAATGGTTGTTTGTCTCGTTTGTCTCTATGTGTCCCTGTGATGGACTGGAGACCTGTCCAGGGTGTCCCCCGCCCCTCGCACAACGATTGCTGGATATGGGCACCGGTGACCCCCGTGACCCAAAATGGAAGAAGCGGGTAAAAATAATGGATGGATGGATGAATTGTGCACCATAACACCAGAAAAAAAAAAAAAAAGTTATGTTAATGTTACAAACTTGTCACAAATTTTGAATATTAAAAATCGTCATTCATGCCTCAGCTGGATACTGTAGCTTTTACAGAGTTCCTTGAACTGTAACAATTTTAGACCCATTTCAACACCTGTGATACTTCAGGGAAGATTTGTGGCAGCCAAATGGAAAGTAAAGATCTGAGAGACAACAAACATTAGGAAAGGTTTTGTTGTTGTTGGCCACAAATTGACTTTTTTCTTTAAACGTTTTTAATAAAGTTCCTTTTAATTTATTGTACGGCTCAATGGTGACGTTAAGTTCTGTGTCCTGGCATATGAGCCATACTCACGTCTTTACTTAACAAAAACAAAACCCCACCAAATTATCATCGTCTATTTGGCTTAAATCTGCTGCAAGTGTAGCACAGACTGGATTTTCTGATCATGTCAATTTGACTTTGTTTACCTTGGACAAAAAATAATAAATCAATCAGCTACTTCTTAAACGGCATGCACCGTATTCACCCGTTTAAAGTCATGAGGACACAACCCCAGAAATCCAATGGAGTTTGAAGGGGCACCCGTAAACAAAAAAGTTCAGTGCAAAGATAGATGATGTGTGCAACCACAAACTGAGATCAAAGTCCTGACGGGAGGAGACAGAAGTGAGTTGGCTCTGGGTTACGTGGATATTTCATGAAGGCAGAGGCATGTACACAGTTGTTATGCTTCGACTGGATCAAAGTACTGTTTGGTCCTGATGCAGATGTAAATGCAACACTCAGCATGACCCCCCAAACCCCCTCCCCCACCCCCCACCCCCCCACACACACACCTTTTTTGTAAGATACTGGACTGTGAAACGTAGATTCAAAGTGATGCCAAGTGGTTTCTGAGAGAAATTAAACAATGCATGTGCACACAAAGCCACTGGTCCATTTAGATGTTGCTTGCATGTTTGTGCAAATCCATGTACTGTGTCTCTGTGCATCCACTGGGGGTAACCTGAGCGCTGTGAGAGTGTGGCGGTTGCCAGGAGCTCATCTATAATGCAGGCCCATCTCTAATCAGGCTGCTGAGAGTGCAGGGGAAGGAGAGAACACTCTCTCAGGTATCCAATAAATCCGTCCCTTCCAAAGCAGAGACAAACAAGCTGAAGGAACAGAGGCCGGTGGTGTAATTCCACCTCACCAACGATTCTCGGAGCTGGGCTTCTGACGTGAGCCGTGTTGGGTGGATGCGGACTGCAGGGCAGCAAAGAGCACATTTATCCTCACAAATAGTAACCTTTGTAGCCAAACTGAAACTCTACAATTATCTCTCCTGAATAATGACCACAGAGCGCAGCCTGATGCCTTTCAACCATTTTTAAGTCTGTTCTCTGACACCAAGTGGAGGAAAGAAACCTCCGACTCTCATCAATCCCTAATGGAAGATTATGCGTCCCATGAATAATGTCGGTGCCTGGTCGAGAGGAGTCCAAGGGTTTCATTTACATAGTCATTTATTTACAGGACTTTCCGAAAAAGACTTGTTTGCGCAAGGACAGACTGACTGTCCATCTGAAGGTGAAAAAGGAGAGGATACTGGTTCAGTAGAGGACACGTTAGTGAACACTGCTGAGGAGAAAGAGCCAGAACAGAAGGGACAGAGGGGGGAGAAATTACCAGGGGCTGATCCTTTAATCCCTCTACAAAGCTATGGAGATATGAGCACAAACACAAACACTATTCTATCCCTCTCCATTTATTCCTTTCATTTTTTGACTTTGCATATGTAGTATACATACTTTTATATATAAAAAAGTCAAAAGTAGTGTTTGAATTATTTTATGTGTGTACACAGCATTTGTTAGTCATGGGGGGGTGGGAATCAGATTCACACACATATGCCCAGGGCGTGTCTGGCAGTAGCCAATAATCCCACCACTCCCAGCAATCCACTGGGGAAGGCTGTTCGTTTTTGTATCACTCAGCAAACGGCAGAGTGGTTGTTGTAGCGTTTTACAAACAGCAGCTGAACCTTCACACCGGAGACACTTTCAGCACAGACACACACAAACACACACACAGCGTCAGAAGCAGTCTCATCTGCGTCTCCATCACTCTGCTCCTCATTAAGAGAAGCCCTGCTGGGACCGACCGAGGGGAACCTCCTTTCAGGTGACAGCTGCGCATCCGACAAAAGGACCAATTTAGCCTCTATCCCCACCTCGTCGTTCATACGTTGCCATGTCAACACACATCCATCCTGACCTTATGCTTGCAGTCCCACTCAATCTCATTCAGCTTTGAAGGCCACAGCTGAGCCACTGAAAGCTTTCACACAGAAACAGCACAATAGTTTGTAGTTAGCAATGTAACTTTATTTTTAAATAGAACTTGAGTTAAATTTGTTGATTTAAAAAAAAAAAAAAAAAAGGTAAAAAATGTTCAACCCCAATTATAAACAATGGGGATGTATAAAAATGTAAATACAAAGAGAATGCAATGATTTTCAAACTTCATAAACCCATATTTTATTAGCAATGGGACACTGTAAACATGTCAAATGTTTAAACTAAGAAATTGTATAACTGTTTTCGGAAAAATGTAATTTTGAATTTTACGACAGCAACACATTAAAAAAAATAATGAGAAAAGGGCAACAAAATGCTAGTAAAGTAAGTGACATAAATAGGAAACATCTGGAGGAGTGTTCTGCACTGCCTTAGGCTATTTGGTCAGTAAGTGGTCTGGGTATAAGAAAGAGAATTTTAGAGACCGAATCCGAAATAAAGATGGGCAGAGGTTCACCAGTCTGCAAAAAAAGTGTCTAAAACAGTGAACAATCTCAGAATAATGTTCCTTAACAGAAAATTGGGATGATGATGAATCAGTAAAATAATAATAGCCAATCATCTACAGTTCATAATGTAATCAAAATATTCAAGAATTTCAAGAAATCTGTGTGCAAAGGACAAGCCTGAAAGTCAGTATTGGAGGCCCGTAATCTTTGTATCCTGAGGGGCCACTGGATTAAAAACAGGTCTGATTATGATATGAACAACACAGTTCACCGTGCCGTCCTCAAAACCTGGTTAAAGTTCTATTATACAAAGAAAAAAGTATATAAACACCATCCAAACATACTCCTGTCTTCTCTGGACCTAAACTCACTTAAAATGGACAAATCTAAATTTGCAATGGGTTTTGAAAACACAAATGCCACATTTTATTTGACTGAAGAGGAATTGGCCTGTTATCAGCACACAGTTTAAAAGCCTGCCTTCCTGATGGTATGGAGGTGCATTAGTGCTTATGACATGGGCAACTTACACATCTGGAAAGACATCATCAATGCAGAAATGTACATACAGGTGCTCCCATCCAGAGAACATCTTTTTCAAGGAAGGCCTTGCACATTTCAGCAAGAATGCTAATCCGCAGACTGAATCCACTACAACTGAACCGGCCTGCCTGCAGTCCAACTTTGTAAGAATGTAAACATTTAAACTGGTTCTTTAGAAATTTCTCTTTTATTCCACAGGCACTGTCCACTTGCATATTTTAGTCTAACATACAAAAAACTCCTGACCCATATGTATACGACTGCAGATTAACCCCAATTAAAGCTTGTTTTAAGAAGGAACAACAAACATCTGA